GCTCAGTCACTGTGTAAGTATCACTTAAGCAGAAGGGTGAACTGCCCTGGCTGGCTCTTTGTCGACTAGATACTAGGAATAGGATGGGATGGAGGCAGATTATCTGCTGTGGCAACTCCTAATGGAACAAGCTGACAAAAAGCAGACAAATGAAAAAAGTTAACAATGGAATTGGAAACCCCATCTTAACAGAGACCTTATTTCCACTGTTTGTCATCACCAGGTATACAGCCACATCTGTCGTAGTCTTTGTGCCTTAAAACCATACACCTGACTCAGCGTTAAACAGTAGAGCTCTAACAAGAGAATATAACTCTGCAGTGCCACCCATACATGTGCAGTGCACATTCTACACATTTTTCTGATTTTCTGTGTCAGTCAGCTTGTGGATGCTGAAAAATCCATGGGAAACATCTCACATCCATGATTTTAAACAGGCTGAAGAGCTGAATATTCCCTTTGAGGACTGCTGAGGTCAGTCTGATGACAACGGGGCAAATATGAGGGGAAAAACAAGGGCATTTAAGCCAGGCTCCTGGATCAGAGTCCTAGAGCTCCTTTTGTTCCATGTGGAGCTCACTGCTCCCCTGACTGCTCACACCACAAGCATTAAATTGTATTAAATTGCTCCTTATTACACAGAAACTGCCACAGGTGTTTCCTGGTAGACATTACTATTCTTAAAGTTTGTTTTAAAGGTTATTACACGGTTTGTTACGTTCCCCCCGAAGGGGTCTAGGCATGCGAGTGAGGGGACCAGTAACAAATGAGTCCAGAACAGAATGAAAGGAAAACAGGCAGGTGTTTTTAGTAAATAAAATAGCCTTTATTATAGATAATCTTAACATAAAGAGCCGGCAATGCCGTTCTACCAATAACACTTGAAAAAAACAAAGGTTGCAACAACAAAGAACACAACAACCAAACAAAAACTCCACACCACGAGGAGGCACTTCCTCACCCTGTCACTAGCAGCAGCTAGCTTTACTGCTGCCGAGGCCCACAAGCCCACACTACTCACGTAAAGCAGCTATACTATTTCCCCAACTCCACACTTCAGGCAGGCTAACTACACACCAAGACCACAAAGCAGAAGACACCAGAGAAACACCCCACCCTGCTCACAGCTCATCCCCAGCTTATATGACCTCAGAGAGGTGATTGCTGACTGGGCCCAGGTGGTAAATGAGTCCAATGAGCAGCAGCTGTGTCCTGGGGAGAGAGAAGAGCAAGAGAGAGACAGAGGGGTGGAGCAAGAGAGGAGGAGGCGGAGAAAAACACCACGCCCACACAAGGGCAGTATCAGGAGGCCCAGCTAGGGCCGTAACATGGTTATTAATATATTATTAAATACAAACAGGCAGTTTTTCGTTTTATAGCTCTCTTACCTGCTTATTACACAGAAACGACCAGAGATATTGCCAGGTAATAAACACATTTTATTAAAGTTAGCTTTAATAGGTGTCCATATGTTTTAAATAGAAACAGCCAGTTTTGAATTTCGCACCTCTTTTTCTGCTCATTATGCAGAATCTACCATGGGCAGTTGAATGGTAATAACTTTGAAATTACCATATGATTACATTCTTGTTTCTTCCTTGTTACGAGCTGTAATAAAAAGTGCTACCTAACACATTACTTGATTTTTATTATAAGAATATGAACATACAATGCATGTTTACCCTATGCCCAGCTGGCTGTGCATTGTGTTTCTGGCACACCAGAATGTCCCCTTTTGAAAGTTTAAAAGTTGGCAGAGAGCAAGCCTCATTCCAAAGCATGTCCACTACACTTGAGAAGTCAAGAACTGAACCATCTGTAAACTTTGGAAACTTGCTATTTTGGACTGGAAAATAAAATGCTTTTTATTTAATTTGAAGTTTTATTAAAATTTATGGACAGAAGCCATTTTAGTTTTTATTTGAACGTGATATATTTGTTTGATTACTACTACCATTTGTATTACCTAATATTGTTATTTATTTCATTTCTATTCTGACCATCCCCTTGAGCAGAGATGGGCAGTAACGCGTTACTGTAATCCGATTACTTTTTTCAAGTAACGAGTAAAGTAAGGGATTACTATAGCAAAAACGGTAATTAGATTACCGCTACTTTCCCGTAGGAACGCTACGTTACTGCGTTACTAAAACCGTGA